TTCACTACTTCCACTCATCTATGCTGAAAACAAATCAATTTTATCATTTCTTAATTTATATCACTTATAAATGTTTATAATTACATGTTTTTAATTTTTCACTCATGAAAATATTTTTTACAGAATTTATAAATTATTTTTAAGATTCAATCGTCCAGACGACTAACATTTCAGTCGTCCAGACGACTGAAAAGTAACTTAGCCCGACTCAGACAACTTACTGGGGTTATATTCGTAAAAATGTCTTCTGTTTTTTTGTTTGGTCACAGAGGACTATATTGTAATTTCATAGCCCCTTTAGGTTAGATTTGCAATTGATTCAAGTTGGGGTCTAGTATTGGGGTTAAAACCAAGTTGTGGGTTAGTTTTGGCAAAAACCCCTCTAGAGTAAGCATTTCCTGTATGTCAAATTATTTGAAAAGTGATGTAGTAATCGATAGGGTGCAGATGCAATTGTTTAGTAGAATAACCAACAATATTTACGAACTTGAATGCGTTGAATTCACTAATGATCTAGTCAAAAACAAAGGTTTTGGAAAGTAAAGTTTATATTTTATAAATCAATAATAAAGTGACTCTTACAAATCAATAGCTCACTATATTTATATTAGGACAAAATTTTTTAAGTCCTTAAAGATTAGAATCTAACCTTTTATCCCAAAATCTTAATCTTAATCTCTTTAATAATTAGAAACTAATATTAAACTAAAAAAATAATAATAAAAGAAAACAAAACAAAAGCCGAAAAGAAAAACATGATCCACGCTGCATCAGATCACCGAGGGTGAAGAAATATACGTCCTTTTAATCATCCTGCAACACATAAAGGAATCAAGTGTTTGACGTTAAAAATGTCAGAAGAACGAACATCCGGTGGAAGCCTTAAACGATATGCATTGCGTTGATTTTCTCGAGTATTTCCAAAGGTCTTATCTTCCTTGACTTGAGTTTGTTGTATTCACCCGGTTGAAATCTATTTCTAGTGAGTACGGTCCAAACAAAATCGCCCGCTTTGAATTAAACTGCATGTTTTGTTAATGGTTATAGTAGTCTAGACTCTAACTAGATATAAATTTAGAAACTTAAGAGAGTAAGAAACCAACATTTGCTTCCATTGGTGAATGTAAAATGTTAATGACGTCGGATAGATAAACAATTAGAACGAAATCAATACTGTTTGATGACAGATTGGTGGAATGTTAATGGGAATTGTTCCTACCATACTTAGCGGCTTAATATTTGTATATATTGATTGAATTTATTTTCTAAGTGTATCCTCCTTTATAATAACAATATATGTAAATCTGGAATTCGTCAACTATATAATATATGGTTGGATGATCATAAGTTTATAGACCAGTTCTGTCTTTTTTTGTGTGAAAAAAAATTAGCAACAAGTAAATTTATTATCATTTTTTATTTGAACTGAAACTAAAAAAGTTTGGTATCATGTGAGTTGGATCCAGTTTTGTTTCATTTTGGTCTATTTTCAACTCCATATATAAGGAAAATATTTACTTTATAGAAATGTACATATTTATTTATAAACATTCAATACAAGAAAACAATTCTAACTACTAATTTCTTTTTTAAGTAAAATTTTGGAATTTATTGACGCCATACTTTTTTTTTTGGTAAAAAATTGACGCCATACTTTATATGAAAAGGCCACTCATACCATCATTCGCGAATGAATATATCTATGAACTACACCTTTTCTTGAAAATTTATCTAAGCTTTTTGATACGTCCGAGATAACCATATAAAGTTTTCGAATCGATATCAATATTCCAAATATATAATATGTGACCATGCGTTAGATAAAAGAAAAAGTATAGCAATGAAAGATTTGAATTTCGTAATCTTGCATACATCATCATTATTGTGAAACTACGCATATGCCTCACTGTTTGATATATAGTTTTAGCTGTTATTACAAATTGAATATAGTGAATCATTATTACACGATGATGTAATGAATCCAATGCATACATATAATATATATGGTTGCTTGAGTAAGGACTCTTTTGAAGATAGACAAATCATACATGCAACATGTTGTCTGGCAACCACATGCCAGAAGATGGGTCATCTATGGCCCAATTCTGTAGCATAATTTCGACCGAAACGATCTGATTTAATTAATTCTTGGCTGTTTACATGCCTTGATTAGTGTAATTTCCAATAAAACAAATATACCACAATACTATCAAAACAAACCATAGTTTTGACCAACCTTGCTTCAAAACCGATTTTCTCACCCTGTAAAATTCAGTTACAAACACTTATACATTCAACATAAAACCTTGCAGAATTATCTACACATTAATGAAACAAAATTAAATCTTATTAAGTGTCATAGAAGTTACAGCAGTTGTAAGAAAGCTTCTTGTTTATTCACGTTAATTAACGGCTTACGCTTAATATACAATCGTCTCGTATTGACCCAAGTTATGATCAGATTAATCGAGGCTAAAAATACACGAAGCATACACAAAACACGTATCCCACAGCCATTAACAATACTTATTTCCACGAAGTCAATAGCGTTAGATCCAAGGGACCGATCCGAGTACTCGTTGTGTTAACCAATCAGAGCGAAGAATGAAAGCTCTGTCTGACTATTTTAAACATTTTCCTCATCAGAATCTTTTCTCTGACTCATTACATTCACAAAGAATTTTTTTTTGAGAGAGAAAGATGTCGGCAAAGGAAGAAACCGTTCCAACGAACGTTGAGTCAGGAGATGCTGAAGTGGCGGTGAAGGCACTGGCGAGGGAGAAGCAACCAGTGGCAAAGAATACAAAGGAAGTTAAGGCTAATAAGCTTGCAGCAAAGGCTCCAAAGAAGAAGACTTCTGCACCTAACCCTACCTACGAAGAGGTTCAAGATTCGTTTTCCATCTAAGCTTTAATTCTTGAACTATATTTCAGATTCGTAAATTTTTGACTTTTTTTTTGCTTTTTGAACTGATGCAGATGATTAAGGATGCAATTACAACGTTGAAGGAGAGAACTGGATCTAGTCAATACGCGATTCAGAAGTTCATCGAGGAGAAGCAGAAGTCTCTTCCTCCTACTTTCAGGAAGCTTCTTCTTGTTAACCTCAAGAGACTCGTTGCTTCTGAGAAATTGGTTAAGGTCAAAGGATCTTTCAAACTTCCCTCTGCTAAACCGTCGACGTCTGCTCCGGTTAAGAAACCAGCAGCCAAAGCATCTAAGAAACCTGCTGCTGCAAAGCCCAAGGCTGAAGTTGTTAAAGCATCAAGGACTTCTAGTAGAACATCTCAAGGGAAGAAGGCTGCTGATGCCGAGCCAGCTGTTGTTGGGACTGAGAAGGCTCCTGCTAAGAGAGAGTTTATTTGGACCTTCCCTTATCTCTAACTTTCGAATTTCATGCATTTTAAAAAACGGTCTAGCTAAATTTGGTTTACTTTTACTTTCGATACGTCTCTATCACGGTTACATGTTTAGGCCGTTGGAGATGATCCCTATGTTTGTTTTAAGTATCTTTCTCTCTTTTACTCTGTCATTAGCATCATCACAGAACCGCCATGTAATTTCAAGGTTTCTTTCTTTTGATCACATTCTTGTCCCGCTTCTTCAGTCTTTCGACTCTCGGTGAACCTCTGGATTGTTTTTTAAAATCTCATCATGCGATCACTTTCGGTATAGCAATCAGATGATCCGAATGACCATAAGTAAACTCACGAAGCTACAATGAAAAGGATGAGTCACTGATCATCCATGGTCTTTCCGAAAAATAGCCCCAAACCACCGTTGACATTAGTTCTTCTTTGTCTAGAGGGATGATGTCTCTTGGGTAGTCCACCCTCCCCCCCAGAACTATTAAGATACATTGACTGTGTCAAGGACATTTGCTGAGGCAATGAAATGTCCAAGATGACAAGAAGCAATGAGGGTTGAGATCGACGCGAGAAGAATAAGACATGGTCAACTAAATTTTTTCCTATGACAAACGGGTGATAGAATGTAAGTGGGTATTCACAATAAAGTATAATATAGATAGATCGGTTGAAATGTATAAGGCTTGACTTATAGCTTGTGGTAATCGACAAGAAGAAAGAGTTGATTACAGAGAAGCGTTTGCCCTGTGATAAAAACGAGTACAATTAGATTGGTTTTTCACGTTGCAGCATGAAAGAACTGTGAACTTCATCAGATGGATGTACACAATGCATTTCTTCATGGAAGCTTGAAGGAAGAGGTGTATATGAGATTGCCTCAGGGTTTCAGTGCTTCTACAAAGGGAATGACATACAAGTTGCACAAATATTTGTATGGTTTGAAACAAGGTCTGAGGTGTTAGTTTGTCAAGCTTTCAGAAGCTCTTTTGAAGTTTGATTTTGCACAAAATAAGTCAGATTATTCACTCTTTTTATCGGTGAATGCTAAAGTTCAGTTTCATATTCTGGTATATATCGATCATCTGGTGATAACAGGAAATTCACCAGAAGGTATTTGTCAGCCGTTTTGCTTAGTTTAGTCTTCGTCGTTTTAAGTTTCGAGTGATTCAATAGAAATAAAATTCGTTTCTTCGAAAATTATTCGGAATAAGTACAGAAGTGGAGATTGTGTACCCGATTCGATGTGCTTCTTTTTTCTACAAGTAATCTCAGATTTCTCTGTGATTTCTGAGAGAGCAAGTTTTATATTTTCTAAAAGTTTTCAGAAAATCTCTTTTGGTCGAACTCTTACGTGTTGAGATTTCTCCAACTTGATAATGAGAACTTTATGGGGTTTAATATATTTTAGCGTTGCCCTTTTGTTTAGAGAGAGAAATTGCGAGCTCATTTCGGTGCTCTTCCTATGGCAAAAAGTCTCGACTAGGTTTTCGATTTTTTCAAGCACTGCGGCGTGTGCATAAGCATTGGCTATAGGAGCAGTCACTGCTGGAGTTGTTTTAACAGCGTTTTTGCAAACTGCGAGTTTTTCTTCCATATCATGGACATCGTTTTGATCAAGTGTTTTGTGGTCATGAGTTAGAATAATCCGCCCCTCCTTCTAGCGTCAAACTGTGGAAACCGAAATTTGCACTGTCGATTCTAGGGAACAGATGAAAGCAAAGAAAACCCTACTTTCCTTGAGGACCGGATTCAATGCGAGAGTCAACGACAAGTAATCAAACAAACGCAGAAAACATGAAAATACAACAAAACAAATTTATAGAAAAAGTAGATCTCTATTTCGAATTTGAGTAAGTGCGTTGCGATTATAATAACTTCAGCCATAAGAGCTGTCGGTATCGGCGAGTTCCCTAGTTCTAGGCGCCTAAAATCTTAAACTTAATTGAGTCACAGCTTGATAACAACACACGAAGAAGATAAGAAAAAGGTTTTGATTGATTTCAGACTGGATCTTATGAAAGGCTGTCTACGTACCCCTTTCGAGGGTCAAGCCGATTGGAGTTCAGTTAAAACATTTGAACAAGAGATCGAACTGCCTTTGCGAGTTCGTATAGTAATCGAGTGCCAGTCATAGAAACCAAGCTTACCGAGAATAAAGCCTAGAGTTTCTAAGTGCAAAAAGTTCCAACTCTAAAAATTCGTTTATGTCTATGTGTCCCTCTCCCTTGCTCCTCTTATATATGCCCTGAACTTCGGTTCGTCTTTACTTTTCCGCCCCTGATTCAAATTTATCCTTCCACATAAATTTTTCATTATCTTTTCGATTTTTCATGATTATTTGAAACTTGACAATTTTTTTTTCTTCTCTTTATTATCTGCGAAAATCCAACCAATAAACCGTCATTAAAATTGGGGTCATTCTCCTCAAAAATCTTAAGTGGGTTTTTATCATGTTTTAGACCATTTTGGGCCATTGCGATTTAAACGACTTTTACAATTTCTTTCAAAGAAATTGTCCTTAACACAAATACACGATGCTGGTTCCGCAAAATAATAAACCAATCATATAGTCTAGACAATATTGGTGTCTAAGTTAAGCATTGTCGTTTTATACGATTGACTTCAAAGGAACTCCAATCGAGACGAAACAAGAGACGACTAAGCAAAGGTCCGAAGCATAGAGTAATGGAGATTGTGAAGTCTATTGTTTGCGAGTCTTGTTTTCGCTTTTTTCTTTACTTGAGAAGTTCGGACGCGATGGTTTCTTGTTTTTCTTTTTTTACGAGAAAACGTTTCTACGGTAACTTTCAGGTATTAATTATGTCGTGACTGTTTTTGATCTCAACAGTCAAAGATTGTTTCGTAAAATTCGTCATTTTTCGCAATAACCTTCCACGAGAACGTTTTTCCAATTAATTCATCTTTGGATAAAAAATATTTTATTTCTTTTCCGGGATGAAATATACGAAGTTTGTTCTTGTATCCGTACATAAATAGGTTTGGCTTATGCCGTAAGTTTCTCTGACATTTCAGCTTATATTTGTTTAATGCACAATTGCTCGGATGATTTTAACCATTGTTTTTGCTATAACCCATTTTGATCTCAACAAAAATACTCTTAGAAATTGTTGTCTCATCAATTAGTTTCTCCGCTTCACAGCTTTGAGATTGCTGAAGCAGGCAAGTTGTTCCTTTTCGGAAGCTTTAGATCCTCCTGTTCTTCCACTCTCTTGAAATACTGATCTACCATGCTATCCTTCATCTCCTCCAGTCGTGGTGGATCCCACTGTAATTTTAGTATACACTACTGACTTGTTTTTTTTTTTTTTGTAATAAGTATACAGCATTGATATATATTAACAGTGCGCTAGAACCAAAAATTATAAAAGGAATTATTTGCTAAACCTTTGGGTTTCTGTCTCTATCTATCAATATGGCTCTGCATCCCTGATGATGTTTTAGTTATGTTTACAAACAGACAGTTTGTGGAGGAAAATACAATCGAGAAAGGTGAAAAATTACCTCCACAAAATCTTTGCTTATGTCTCCCTTTATCACATGACACACCATTCTATACTCACGGATAAGACACTGTCCCACTCCCTGCGATCGTCCTTCTCTGATCTGAAATATACATACACGTTGAGCTCTTTTTTCCATCTTGCATGTGAGTCATTCTGGGAACAACTAACCGATCTGAGAGAGATTTTAAGGCTTGCTGGTGAAGCCTTCTTCAATGCGGCTATGGTTGCTGAGATCCAATCATGTGGTTCTTGAGTGACCTCTCTCTCCTATCCAACATATATAGTTAAGTGCATTGTGACAGGTAACTCAGTCCACTCATGATCGCTAGTCAAGATAGCCTATATTTTGATGGAAACTTACAAGTGAAAATATAATTTCTTCACTGTTCTCCTCGAGAAACATCTATCAATAGCATCTAGCCTGCGTAAAGAAACATACGTACAAAAAGAGAAATATTCAGGAATAAATTTCCATTGAAGATCTACTTAGACATGAATCCTGTAAAAAGAAATTAAAAGCTGACACCAATACAAGATTTTATTTTATAAAAAATGTAATATAATTATATAATTATGATCAAACAGAGAACCTAAGAAATGCTTGCGATGTTGGCATGGTACTGGTACAATATAAACAAGTAGAAAGAAAAAGGAGAGGTAGAGTCATATTCACTTGCCTGTGGTAAGCACTCTCCTGTTTCAGATCCGGATGCTGACTGTATGCATCAAGAATTTTTGAGATAAAAATTGGATAGCTTGAACCAATCCTGCAAAGATCTGCTTCTAGTGCAGCCAGCTTCTGTGAAAAGAAGTGGCCTTCGTAAGTAACACTCCTTGGCGAAGCAAATGGTGTTTAAAAATAGTAGAAGAAGATGATGCGTGAAAGAACTAGTGTAATACCAATTATTATACATGGACAAATTAAAAATACTCTTGCATTTCTTTATTCTTGTGCGTAAAAACATTTTTTTAAAGGCTTGAAAAAACTTCTTCTCCTAATAGTATTATGTTATATATGCTCTCTTACAAATCTATATTATACGACCGCTAGTTTGCTTACGTACCAACTCTTGCAAGTTATAACAATTAACAGAAACCGTCTAGCCAAGAGAAAATATATATTCAAAAAAAGACTTCCAAAAACATTTAACTCTTATTCAAGAAAAATGCCAATTAAAGCTAAACTTCTCAAATAGCATTCTCGTATTCATATATATATATATATATATACTTGTTTTTGTTTATATATAGTACTTTTTTTTACTAGACTATTTTTGTTTATTTCTTAACCTTGAAAATCTAGTTAAGCCTTTTCTTTCATACCCGCAAAGAGATACTAAAAACGTAAGCTACGGAAGTTAAATATACCGTTGAAGGTACAAAATGAGTTGCAAGACCACAAGCAAGCATTTCAGCGCCATCTAACCTAGTTCCTGTGAGGCCAACATACTCTCCTGAACAAGAAGACACGAAGTTAAGAGAGAAAGGCGGACTCAAACATCTTCGGACATGCCAAACAAATGACTTTTTTTACCAAAAATCCAGGGAGCCTTGACAAGAAGTATGAGGCGCCTATATCTGGAAAGAGCCCCAGTTCTGTCTCAGGCATGGCAAAAACCTTGAGAAAAAAAAAACTCAAAAGGTATATCAGCATATATCACGCTATTTATTTTTCATCCATGGACGTGTTTAAGAAATTAATACTGTTTTCTCAGTTGCAATACGGAATCGTCTATGAATGGAGACACCAGCTCCGCCTCCCATGACAATACCATTCAATATTGAAACCTGACGAATGAATGAGCTTATTATTAAGGTTTATGGTTTAGTGATTATTGTTTATGTTTAGTAGTTAGGGGTTGAGGTTGAGTTTATAAGTTTTGATAAATGTTTTATAATTACTCTTAAACATCTAAGAGAATTAATTTAATTTTTTATCACAATTTAATGTATATCCGGAATAATTCACTTTTCTTATTATATTTTAATATCAGGTACATGTCTTTAAATAGACAAACAAGTGGACAAGGAAAAATAACAAAGCAAATAGGAGAGAGAGAGATAGGAGAGAGAGAGATCTGAGCATGCTTTATAAAGCCTTATAAAACCTCAAGTCTGGCATTTCTCAAGTCTGGTCCCTTGTCTGTCATTTCTCAAGTCTAGTACCTTAATTTACTTCATGTCAACACTCCCCCTCAAGCTTGACCATGTGGAACAAGTCAAGCTTGGAAGCCATGAAGTATTCCCTCATTAAAAACTCAACTAGGTAAAACCCTTTAGGAGAAAACCCAAGTCAAGGAAAAAGAGTAGAACACTTCATGGAGGAGAGATTAGTGACATGAGAGGTCTATGAGTCCCAATCTTGGATGGATAAACTCACAGACCTTAGTGCTTGCTGCTTTGGTGAAGATATCAGCTAACTAATCTTCACTCCTTGTGTAGCAAGGCAATATGATCTTCTGCTCCACGGCCTGTCTCACTTTGTGGCAATCTACCTCTATATATTTGGTCCTTTCATGGAAGACTGAATTGCTATCAATATGTATAGCAGTCTGGTTATCACAGTGCATAGTGATTGGCGTTGTAACTTCAATTCCCAAGTCCTTAAGAAGTCCCTTTATCCAAATCAACTCACTTGTGAGTTTTCTCATGGCTCTATATTCTGCTTCAGCACTAGAACATGACACCACCTTCTGCTTCTTGCTCTTCCATGTTACCAAATTACCTCCAATGAAGGTACAATATCCAGTAGTTGATCTCCCATCAACTCTGTCTCCTGCCCAATCAGCATCACAATACCCAACAATCTCAGTGCTTTTAATTCATCCCATCCATACTCCTTGGCCTGGTGCCTCTCTTAGATACCTGAGAATTCTCTCCACCATGTTCCAGTGGTGTATCTTGGGAGCGTGCATGTGTTGGCTTACTTGGTTTACTGCAAAGCACACATCTGGTCGGGTAATGGTAAGATAGATGAGTTTTCCTACCATTCTTCTATAGTGCTTTACATCTTCATATGACTTGTCTTCAATCTCCCCCTCACGTATCACTTTGTATCCTTCCTCTAGAGGTGTTTTGGCAGATCTTCCACCAAGATCTCCAGCCTCCTTTAGTAAGTCAATAGTGTATTTCCTTTGAGATAGAAACAACCCTTCCCTAGACCTACACATTTCGATCCCTATGAAATATTTGAGCTCTCCTAAATCCTTGATATCAAATGAAGCCTTAAGAAAAGCTTTGGTCGATATGATCCCTCCTTTGTCACTGCCCGTGATGATGATATCATCAACATAGATGAGAATGACAATGATTCCTTGCTGGCTTGTGAGAGTTAAGAGAGTGTGATCAGCCTCAGATTTGACAAATCCTCTTCAATTGAGGGTGGTGCTTAGCTTGTGGTACCAAGCTCTTGGTGATTGTTTCAAGCCATATATGGCTTTCTTCAGCCTCAATACATTTCCTGGTTTGGTAAGGTGTTCCATACCAGGTGGTGGTCTCATGTAGACCTCATCTTCTAACTCTCCTTGTAGAAAAGCATTCTTGACATCCATTTGCCACATATCCCATTCTAAGTTCACAGCCAATGAGAGAACAATCTGTATGGTGTGAAGTTTAGCTACTGGTGCAAAGGTGTCAAGGTAATCTTCACCATAGACTTGAGTGTAGCCTCTTGCAACAAGTCTGGTTTTTTTTCTTTATGGTTTCCCATTAGCCAAGTACTTGATAGTGAATAGCAACATGCTTGCGACTGCCTTCTTGCCTTTGGAGAGCTCACTTTCAAACCAAGTTCCATTTTGGATCATGGCACTGACTTCATCATCTACTGAGTCTCTCCATTCTTTTATCTCCATTGGCTCCTCATAGGTCCTCGGAATATACTCTTGATCTATGTTGGTGATGAAGGCTTGATGGTCACTTGGATAACAAGCAAGGGAACACGTTGCTTGAGTGGGATGAGCAACTGCTTGGCTGTTGAAGTACACTCTTGTATTGACCCATTTTGATGGTTTTCTCACCCTTGTGCTTCTCCTAAGCGGCTGGATTTCTTCAACAATCTCAGCTTCATTTTGTTGATCTGATTCCTCTTGATGTTGGCTTTCATCCTGATCATGAACCTCTTGCTCTTGATCAGTAGTCTGTGGATCCTTTTGACCCATGTGTGGTTCCTCTTGGCCAGTAGACGAATCCTCTTGATTCCCCCCCTTCAGGATTAGGATGAGAAGCCTCTTCAGCCCCATCCATACCATTACCTTGACCTGAACTATCTACTTAACCAGTAGTTGTTTCATTTGGTGCCATGTCGATACCAAGGCTCTCCATGATAATCTGTAGGTTGTTTGCTCTATCTGAGGCTCCTTGTGATAGATCTTTGAGATTGTCCCAGCTCTTCTCCTCATAATAGCCTCTAGATTCCACAAACTTTACCTCTCTGGATACTAAAACTCTTCTTGTCTGAGGAGAGTAACATTTGTAACCTTTTTGAGTGCTAGAGTACCCAATGAACACTGCCTTTGTGCTTCTGGCCTCAAGTTTATTCCTATGATCACCTGTTTGCAACACATAGCACAAGCAACCAAATACCCGTAAGTGGTCAATATATGGTTTTCTTTTGTTCAATACCTCATACGGTGTGGCATCATCAAGGATTCTTGTTGGAGTGCGGTTGATTAGATAGCATGCTGTCATGACTGCATCACTCCAGAACCTCTTAGGCATGTTGGTGTAAAACATCATGGACCTGGCCACTTCCATCAGATGTCGATTTTTTCTTTCAGCTACACCATTTTGTTGTGGAGTGTATGGGCAGCTGGTTTGATGGATGATTCCATGCTTAGCCAAGTGGGATTTGAAAGCTATGCTTGTATATTCTCCTCCATTATCTGACCTGAATACTTTGATCTTAACATTGAATTGATTAGTTATGTAGCTCTGGAAGTTTATAAATGCATCTAGGACTCTATCTTTAGATGGTATCATAGTCAGCCATGTATATTTAGATTTTTGGTCTATGAAGGTGACAAAATATCTATGATTTTCCCTAGAAACGCATGGTGCACTCCAGACATCAGAGTGTATAAGATCAAAGCAGTTCTCATAGATAGTATATGACTTGGGAAACACGGTCTTGCAATGTTTGCCAAGAATACATGCTTCACAACCATCATTTTTGAAAGAAATATTAGGCAATAACAGGTTCAGTGCTCTAGAATGAGGATGACCTAACCTAGCATGCCACAATACATCGATCATTTTCTAAGACAGGAATTGAACTAAAAGCATAAGGTAAACATGATCTAGTCTTGGTGTCTTCAAGCAGGTACAAGTCCCCTTTAGTAACACCCTTTCCGATCATCTTAAGAGTCTCAATATCCTGAAACACAACATCATTAGGACTAAAAGTAACCTTACAGTTAAGATCAGTGGCAACCTTCTTGACAGATAATAGATTATATGTAAAAGTTGGCATGTACAATGCTTTAGTATCTTTCTCAAACAGTTTTAAGTTTCCTACACCTTTTATTGGTATGTTGTTGCCATTTGCAATCATAGCATTACCTAGGGCAGGTCTAACATTGCTAATTAGCCTAGCATCACTAATCATGTGGTGAGAAGCTCCAGAATCTATAACTAACGGCTTAAGGCTATCAAATGCATTCAAGGTTGTAACAAGAGCATTAGGCAGTCTACAAGAGGCATTCAAGGATGAACCAAGTGTGTTACCAGAGTTCTCCTTGAGAGCTTTGATGAGAGCATCAAGGTCAGACCTCTTGATTGTCTCATCTTGGGTAGTCTCATGGTAGAACAGCCGCTGAATCCCAAGCTCTTCCCTTCTCTAGCCGCATCCGCATTCATGGAACGAGGAGTAGATGGTTCACCCATTTAACCAGAGAAATTAGCCTTTGCATAAGAGTAAGGTGTCCTGAACTTCTGAGGCTTGAGGTGTGGGTGAAGGATCCGGCATTTGTCTTTGTCGTGACCTTTCTTCTTGCAATGGTCACACACCCACACCTTCTTGTCTTCTGGCTTTTAATACCCCTTGTTAGCTATGCTCTCAAGTTTGGGCTCATTTCCTTCAGCCTTGTTAGCTATGATGAGGTCTCCTTTGCCACCAAATAGTCCCACTGAGCCTTGCTCCTTTTGAATCTGAGCACAAAGCTCCTCAAGAGATGGAAGCTTCTCACTCCTTAGAATGTGTTTGATTAGATCACTATACCCTGGGTTGAGAGTGAACATCAAAGCAAATACCTTGTCTTGCTCCTTCCTCTCGTTGAGTACATTCGGATCAAGACTAGCCGGTCTTAGCATCTCTAACTCGGCCCACAACGATCTGAACTTCCCAAAATGCTTGGAAAATTCAGTGTCCTCTTGACTGAGAGTGTTGATTGCCCTCTTGACTTCAAACACCCTACTGATGTTAGATATGTTTCCATATACCTTCTGGAGAGTATCCCACAGCTCCTTGGAAGTTTCACAGTAGGAGTAAGCTTCCAAGATAGAGGTTTCAAGGCTATTCTGAATGATGGAAAGGACCATGAGATCCTTCTGACCTCTCTTCCCACCTCCTTCAGTCGCAGCAACAACTTCTTTACCATCTTCTCCTAGGATGGTCTCTTTGGTGTCTTTGCCGTCAACCAAATACTCCCAAAGACCTCTGCCTCCAAGAGCAGTTCTGACAAGCCTAAACCACAGTAAGTAGTTGGTTCCCTTAAGAGTAACCGGAATAGACACAGATTTGAAGATATCAGTGTTGAAATTTTCTATTTTTGGTAAGTTTTAGATCTGGAAATGAAGAACACTCAAGAACAAGATGAACTTTGCCAAAAATAGAAAAGAAAATCAGAGATTTGCGGAAGTAAATAGAATAGAGAAGAGAATAATGGATCTCAGGAGCTTACTTGCTCTGATACCAGAAAGAATGTGAAGATAAAAGATTTAGATGAAGAACATTGAAGAACAAAAGATGAGATATTTTGAAATGGAGAGAGAGAGAAAGTAGATCTGGAAGAATTCACTTTTCTTATTATATTTTAATATCAGGTACATGTCTTTAAATAGACAAACAAGTGGACAAAGAAAAATAACAAAACAAATAAGAGAGAGAGAAATCTGAGCGTGCTTTATAAAGCCTTATAAAACCTTATAAAACCTCAAGTATGACATTTCTCAAGTCTGGTCCTTTGTCTGTCATTTCTCAGGTCTAGTACCTTAATTTACTTCATGTCAACATGTATAAGCCAAAAGTAAGCAAAAGGAAAAGAAAAACGGGAGAGTGATATCTGATATACCTAGTTTTATGTCATTAACAACTGGTAGAACGTCGCCACCTGCACAAAAAGCTCTTCCCTGACCCTGTGGCAAAGTTATTCAGTGTGTGTAATGACGCATGAGAAAAGGATAATGATCACCTTTAGGATGACAAGTTTAACATCGGGGTCCGCCTCGTATGCAAGGAACAGTTGCAGCAACCGAGAGATCTAGAAAGCATTGATTCAAATCTATATCATGTAGTGCGCGAAAGTGATGAAAAAATAACTGAAAAGGGAAGATTCAATACCATGCTGAAGCACAGAGCATTCAGCTGCTTGGGTCTGTTTAACGTCAAGATTCTAACACTCGATTTCTCTTCCACCAAAACCTGTGATCAAATTGATTTAGGGAAATAAAATTTGATCGCTGTGCAAAGAGAGAAAACAAACCTGAGAGTGAGAGGCCATCTCGACTGGTGTTTTTTTCTTCGTACTCGTATTTTCTTGCATTTAACTAGCCTGTATATAAGAGCAGCGATGGGATCCAGGCACTGCCGGAGCCATTATAATTTATTGTAGGGGTCATTTGTTAAATAATTATGTAATACTAGAGATTTTACCGCGCTACGCGCGGTTTATTTGCCTATAAAATTCAAAACAAAATATGTATAAAAAATTTCCAACATATTAAAGTATTTTATATTTTAAATTAAATATATTACTTTGTGATTAACTATTTTCCATAAATTTTAGTGGCTCAAAATTCAATAATTTTAATTAATTTATTCACAGTTTACAATTTACAGTTAGAACCTAATAAAACTGCATTAAATGTAAAAAATATATCTATTTAAATAATTTTTTGAAACACATTGATCATTTTGAAATTGAGGAAGTATAAATTAAACATCAAAATTTAAAATAAATTATACTATTTATATTATATCATTGGTTTGTTTTCATATTATATTTGACAATTACAATGAAAATTATTTATAGATTATAAGTTTTTTTTAAATATCATTAAGTTGTATTTTAGTATATATTTTAGATGTAAACAGTGTTAAAATTTATATTAAACAGTTTTTATATTTATATGATTTTTAAGAATGGTTTGCTTATTTATTACTCATGTCTTTGTTCTATCTTTTATTTAATGTATTTTTATTTATCAAATTTTGAATAGTTTTCGTAGTTTTAATTATTAAATTATCATTATTCCTTTTGTATGTAATACAACACTAATTTTATTTTGAAAATATTATCTCTTAAAAATATATCATAACTGTCTAGCAAATCACACTATCATTATCATATATGTGATTTTATGAACTCGGAGATTTTTTATTTTTAATATAAAAATCAATAATGATAAAGTGATTTTAGTTTTTTTTTTAATTTATAAATTATTTGTTTTAAAAGTTGTTAATACTATGTAATTTAGTCTTTAGCCATCTTTTATATTTACTTATTTCAAAAAAAAAAATGTGTGAACAAATATTTTAAACTAATTCCAATATAATATTTGTAGAAATTTAGGTTTTTTGTAGAAATTTAGGTTTTGTAGAATTGCTCAATCCATTATCAATTTGTATGATCATTTATAGCTAATACCAAAATTTCAGAGATAAGAATTGTTTCTAGACTAGATTTCAAGTTTTTTTCCAGGTTATCTTTAATATTAGTTATTAGTTATCTATTATATTTATATAATTTTGTATGTTTTGACTTAGTTTTAGATATAACTCTAAATAATCTATTTTATGCTAATTTTCCAAAAACATATCATAGATATCAAGGTATTTTTTCTGGATTTTGATTCCTTATAAATGTATTTTCCCACATATACACTACAAGAAAACACGTCCTTTACTAGGACGGGTTTTCCTCGTTATTTCCTAGTAAAGGGCCCTTTACTAGGAAATAGCGAGGAAACGTGTTTCGTCGAAAGACGTTCATCGTAAAGGCTATTTTCCTCGTAAAGGCCTAGCTAATTTACGAGGAAAGTTTTCCTCGTAAAGCCGTGGAAAACATTTCCTCG